ATAAATACATCTACGAAGTCTAACTAAAGATATGTATCAAAGGAAACAATTTACATACATATATGTGTGTCTCTCTCTCTCTATATATATATATATATACGTAATTAGTCTTATACCACATTATATACGCATTATTGAAAGTTATAACAGAATAAATATGATAATAGATGTTTACAGTGAAAAAACAATATTTATCATACTTCATATTACACACTACATTAAGGCCAAATCTGTTAGTCCTAGTGGTAAGTTATAAAAATAATTTCCGCGAGGCAATAATCGTGAAGATAAACTTCATTAACTAAAGGATTTGATAAGCTGTACTTACTAAAAATAAATTTAGCTACATTTCATCCACATTTGTTAAGCTTGATTTTACTATATAAATTTGAACATATTAAGCAAATATAAATATACCCGTAAACATAAGCTATTACGGAAGAGTATATGTTAAGCCACTCGTTGAACAACAAATTGTCTATGTTATATATTTTGTGCATACTGCATCCTAAATCATTTCAATTGGTCTGTCCCGTCGGTTCGCAGTTTATATAATATCTCTTACACTTAGCGTGCAAGTTCACATCTAATTATCTAAGTATGATAAACACGTTTAACATTGTTTGGAATACTGCCTGAATAGTAATGTATTGTACTGCAAAACTTTTTTTTTTGTCAAAGGTTGAGTCTATAATCGTGGCTTGACATTACATCCGTGCGAGTGAACCACACAAAATCAATATAATACTGAGATCAGAAGTTAGTGATAAAATCAAAACTGTAATTACAGACCTTTGATATACTTAATCTTCATCTTCAGAAATAGCTTTATTACATTAGCCAAGTCACGAAGGTGATGACCGCGTTTTCTTGCTGCTCCTTAATTCTCCAATTCTGGAATTTTAACTTTTGAACTTGATGTACAAACATTGTTACCCTTGTCAGTTATAAAGATATATAATATTGTAGGCTTCAATGTCAACGAATTAAATTTTTTGGTGTATCCCTAAGTTTAACAATGCAGAAAAGAAATACAGGGTTAAATTTATTTCTCGCTGTTCAAGTGTCAAGTATACTCATCTATATTTTAGATCGAGATTAAACTACTCTAAATATAATTTATCGTTAGAACAACTATGAAGTAATTTACTAAATCGTGCATATTTCATAACGTGATGAAGAAAGTAACATAATTCGTATCTCCCACACTTCATATTCCAGCCAATGATTAAAGCTAGGGAATTAATACTCGTTTTAAACCAGGCAAGGCCGTAACAGGAAATGGGATTCTATAAATAGTACAGCTGTTTTCTCACTAAAATGACGCACCTGTTTCAAATGTTCAACGTCATACTATTTTTTTTTCAGTTTCTTATAACGTGTGCATTTCTATATTAAAACATGTGTAACAAAATAACAACGAAACACGTAAGTTATAGATTTTGTTTCTTTTATGTTTTTCATCAATCAAGTTAACTGCCGGACTAAGAATCAGAAGGTTCATGGTTACCGTTAAGTTGTCGTAATAACTCGCTCCACCGTGTGGGGACAATATGAATGTGATGGTCAAACCTCACTATTCGGTCGGACAGGAGTAGCCCAAAAATAGGTGGTGGATGCTGTTATTTAGTTGCCTCCCCTCTAGTCCATCAGTTCAAAATTAGGAACTGCTATGAGCAGAAAGCCCTTTGTGCAGTCTTGCGTAGAAATTCTTAGACAAATAAACATGTATAGCATTCTGTGAACTTACATCACTGTCTTTTGTCTAACATAAATAATGCGTAAAGCATCTTTCATAGCAAGTTTTAGTTGAGAAAGAAACGTATTCGCGTTAAGAGTCCTCAAATGGTTAATCAACATAACTTCGTTAGGAAATGTCTATATATACGCTAAATAGATTGATGTTCTCATTTTAAGAAAAACGATTACATTTTAAATGCAATAAACTTAATAGTGTTTATATTACTTTTAAAGTGGAAACTTCAGTTTAAAATCATAATACAAAATATATCAAATAGTGTTTTTAATTTGCAACACAACTGTCATTCCGGAAAACTGATCTCAGAACGAAAACTAATTATCACAATGCATGTATATGTGTGTATATTTAGGTTTGTTTCTGTCACAATAGAATATTATGAAAACAAATGCATACACAAGCTTTTAATACGACACTCACACACGTTTATGTTTTTGTCTGTTTGGACGTGGATACCGTTTCTCCAACAAAATCTAGTTGTCTAATTAATCATTAGACTTAGGTAATCGTTTAAGCTTCTAATAACGGCAACGATTGGTACCAGATCGTCACAATTTTACCCTAAGTACTTAAAATCCTTGATGATCATTATAAGTAATTCTGTTAGAAATTTCAGTATCAAGATCAGCCATTTACTTGTTAATGAAAGATGAATAACAAGATCTTACTTGTTTCATAGGCCAATAAATGTTATTTTTATTATCCGAATTTTTTGTGCATACATCACCCTCGTAAGCTTATATCAGTAACAACAAAGCTATTTTCACCCATCCTTTATTATTGTGTAAAGCATAATTCTCGTAAGTCTATTATCAGTAACATAATATTTTATGTTTTTTTTCCAGATTTTGTCGTATTGTAAAATCTTTATCAAAAACAGCATATTGTATTACAGTTACACAACATTTCACGACATATAACGCCTCTATTTGTACCAATGTATTATTCTCGTTAAAAATACGTTGTTCTGTCATACTATTTCACTATCGTCTGTTACTATTCTTTTCCTACACTTCATATAAAAATGCTCTAAACCTGCATCAACCATACTGTTGTGTCAGCGAGGTCACGTGACTAGTATCACGCCACCTATTTTCTAAAAATATCCTGTTCCTTCGTGAATGCCCTAGCATTTACTAGATATGTGTTAGTCTGGTATATATCAGATGGTCACAACGTGACGGAACAGGGTAGTGAGTAATTGAACTGCAGTCAGAGAGTATTGTTGAAGTTAAGTACGTTCGTTGTTATAGCGCGGCTGTTGAAATTAAGT